TGTGAGTGAGAAATAGCATTTTATGTGTGAGTGTATGTGTGTGTGTGTGTGTGCGTGTGTGTGTGCGCGCGTGTGTGTGCGTGTGTATGTGTGTGTGTGTAAGTGCATGTGTGCGTGTGTACGTGTGTGTGTGTGTAAACACGTGTAAGTAAGTGTGTGTGCGAGCGTGCGTGTGTGCATTTGTGTATGTGTGTGTGCGTGTGTGAGTATGAATATGTGTGTACGTGTTTGTGTGTGTGTGCATATGTGTGTGTGCATGCGTGTGTGCCTCTGTGCGTTCAATTATGAGTGTACGTGTGTGTACGTGTATGCGTCTGTGTATAAGCGCGTGTGTGTACGTGTGTGTGTGTGTGTGTGCGAGGTTCAGCCTGCCAAGGTCTTGCCCCGATCCCCCGTGGAAGAGAGACGTCGGGCAAACATCGGGCCCCGCTGCGATCAATCAGCGAAAGCTCTATCGGTCCAAAGGAGTGCAATACCAAAGAACACCCCCCTCCCTCGCCCCAGTTTAATTCTCTCTCTCTCTCTTTCTCTCTCTCTCTCTCTCTCTCTCTCTCTCTCTCTCTCTCTCTCTCTCTCTCTCTTTCCTATACTGTCCTGTTGTGCCTTGACAGATGCGCAAACCATTTGATTCGGTTGTTTATCTATGAATCTATACATATTATACATGTATTTGTAAAAGTCCGCCACTTTGGCAACCTAAAACTTCCGAATCACTTAACTTTCGAATTTGACATAATAAATGGTGGTTCAGAATCATTTAAAGGATGCACAGTTTTGTAAAGGAGCCTGAAGTCAGGGTAATTTAATTTTCAGTTTCTCATTAGTTTCGTTTAGATATAATATTGGGAAAGTCCGTCTTCTGAGACGACATTGTAAACAAGCGAAGTTTCCGTTCACTAGCCGAGGGCATTGTTTCCACACCTTTGAAATTCTGGAGTGTGCAACCACGAAAGCGGAGTAGAGAATCAATCTATACTCTATACAAGCTAATCACTATAATATCCAAACCTTCTAATTTTTTTTTTACATCTCTCAGGATTTATTGCTCCATTCCAGTAGAGTGTAAATATAGTAGGCCAATGACTTTCAGCTGATGTTAATGCACCGATCATTCCTTTCATCGAAAGGGGGGCCCAGCTAGTTGATAATAAGTGTAAACCTCTCAAATCGTTAAGACTATTTCAGCGAGAAACCTCGCTCTTCTATTCTTTACGTTACCAATCCGTGGCGTCAGTGGGAACCTCTCCGATACCGGGGTAGATCACCGACGGAGATCGAAATCCAATGAATCAACACCTCCTGCTGACTTTAAACACACGTGTGGATCGATTTCAAAGGGACCTAATTAGGCTTGAACGACATGGGTGTAGGCAAGAGAAGCGAATACGACAACCCTCTCACCTCCCTTTGCTCGAGTGAAGCTTCTAATCAAGTGCACACAACTCTGGCTTCCCAGGGAGAAGGGGAGATAACACAATACATGTTTCAGGGAGAGAGAGATAGCAAGTTAGAGTTTTCCGTGCTTGGGATAAGGAATATTTTACGTGCTAGAACATGCTCTAAATCCTGGCAAACCTGCGGGACAAACGAAACTGTTTGATTTTCTTTCGAGCATTGCCAGTTTGCCCAAGGCTTTTGTTTAAAAATAATTATTTTACTCTCATTATGATATATATATCTTCCATTGTGTGTGTGTGTGTGTGTGTGTGTGTGTGTGTGTGTTTGTGTGTGTGTGTGTGTGTGTATATGTATGTG